TTTTTTTTTTTTTTTTTTTTTTTTCAAAGATACGATTTTGTATTGACTCGTTGCTGCAGTATTTTAGTACTCCTGTGCGACTTTTCACAGTTTTTTCTCCTCTCTTTTTCTTTTGGTATGTGCTCACAAATAAAAATATATGGACATTCTTTTGATGTTCAACTTTGTTTTTTACCATTTCCCTAACGCACTTTTTTTTTGCTAACGAAGTTTATGGAATGTAATTTTATCTTTGGACAGTTCAGGGAGTTTGGGACTGAAGTTGTTTTGTCGTAAACGATGAGCCGCTAGATTGATGGTATGGTTGGAGTGTAGTGTGAATATGTTTATCGGATATGGTGTATTCAACTAAATTTTATCAATGATGATCTGTATTTTGGACAATAGTTCTGGGGTTCTACATTTATTAGCTAAGCTCTTGAATGTTTTTGTCGTCAGGGGACAATAGCTTCATTTGTCCGGGCCGTTAATGCAGAAATTTGTTTTTTTTTCTTGGTCCTTTAACTAGTCGTCACTGTGTATTTTATTTATTTATATATTATTGGGTTTTAGGATGTCGTTTCGTCTATCACAAGTATATTGTTTGAGGTAGGTGAATTTGCTCCAGTTTACTTTTCATCTGCATCATAGATGTCAAGAAGCAATCAGTCGGTCAGTCAGTCAGTCAGTCAGTAAGTCAGCCAGTCAGTCAGTCGTCGTTGTCTTCGTTAGTGCAATTTTGTGCAGTCGTGATTTTTGAGCTATGGCGGGTCATTTCCGCTAGTGGATGCTTCTGAAAATAACGAAAGTGTTCTGTTTTGTCTTTTATTTTTGCCATCTTAGACAAATTATGTTAAAGAATTTAGTTCAAGGAGAAAAATAGAAATTTTTCGAGAGATTAAGGAGTTTGAAAGTTTTTTTGTCTTTACTAAGCTGGACTAGTTGGGGGGGAGGGGGGAGGGGGCGTGAATTGTTAGTGGCTAAAATTATTTGTTTTCCTCGTACTATATAGCTCAAATCAGTTTCATTGGCAATCGGAAACATTCTGTTGTCTTTGTTGCCGACATCAGGAATATTTGATTTTAAATGTTCTCACATAATGAGAAAAGAAAAAAAAATCCTTTCTACTAAGTGACACAGTGTTAAATGTATGTTTTTTTTCGTTGTTCTTTATTTTTTAAAATAATGTAGTTGTGGAATGAAGGAGTTGACGTTGTTGGAGCAATCAAAAACAGTTTGACTTTTGACTAAAAGTTGTCAATCTTGTATAATTGCATTAGATGTATATTTGGTTCAATGTTCATCTGTCCTCTACAGCAGCAACAGCAGCAGCCCGAACATCGTTTTGCAAGCATAGTTTTTGCCCGTTTTTAACGTTTAAAAAAAAGAAGAAAAAAAATTTAATATAAGTGTAATTTTTTAATAGCAGTAATCTTATTTTTTCTAAATTTTTTTCGTTTAAAAATTTCTCAAAAAAAAAAAAAAAAAAAAAAAAA